ATTCCGAAATGTGCTGTAAATGCCATCTACCATGCGGAGACGTAGAATCTTCATAGCAACGTACAAGACTTTTTGAGGTGTGGCTCCGCGTCTGTCACTTCGTCGTAATTCACTGGTTGCCATCATGTAAGGTGTCACTGAAACTCCCATGTGGAAGCGACGAGGCTGGCCGTAGTATATTGCAGGAAATGATAGTTCTTCAGCATGACGGTCGTACATGATGTTCAGAGGCATGGCCCGATGTCCTGGTGCGATGTCGAGGCAATCCTCTTCGTTCCACAGTAGTGTATGCTGCCTGGAAGCAAGAATTTCTGACTCCGGAGTACACTCGGCGGCGATTGTTTCGATTCGATGAGCCGAGTCATCCTGCAAATCTTCCTCTGGTGGCACGACAGTTTGCAGCCTTGACAAATCTACTTTGATATCGTACAAGCGATATAGACTTGAATTTTGAAGTACATCCAACCATTCTTTGATTGTCCTTTTGGACATGTAGCCGCTGATGTAATTTGTTTTGTGTGCGAGATTCCGTTTGATGTTGACATTAATAACGTCGTCCTCATCTAAATGCCGGGGCAAGCATTTTACCATGTCTTCTACGTTGACTGGAACGTTGATCACTTGACCAATAATTCCATAAGAGAAGTCATGCCGCAGACGACGCACTTGCATGAATGGCAGACGTGGTGAGATTAATCGTTCACTAATTGGATCCAGTGGCGGTAAGCCAGGAGGTATTTCTGGATATGAGAAGCCATTCACTTTTGCAAGGGCAGGAAGCTTATGTTTGTTCAGCGACAATCTACAGGTGTTGCAAATATGCGTATAATCCTCCTCGCGTAGTTGCCTATTTTCCTTAACGAACCAATCCGATATGACCTGTAGTTGTGCAGCAGTGATGATTTTAAGGTCATTCTTGAACCACAATCGGTCGCAAACAGAGCAAGCGTGGCCAAATTCGTTGTCCAGAAATGTAGTTTTAAACCTCTTTATTGACGACGACCATTTGCTATTCCAGGTTGATTGTTCCGGTTGCACTGCTGTGTGAGTCGGTGGAGTACTTATTTGTGAAACAATTTGAGCAGCTCTACGCTGTCTGTAAGCACGTTGTCGCTGAGCGCTGGTCTGGGCAGTAACTGTTCTTTCCACTACCACAGGAGCAGACTCTGTGGCTGACTCTAGCGTGCCGGTGTCAAGAGCTGACTTGGCGAGTCTACGTTGCTTGCATCTACGTTGTCTTTCGGCGGCTGCTTTTGCAAAATCTGCTGCCTCGGCTGGAGTTCTTTCCGCGGCCTTACGTTTTCTATACATACTTTGTCGTCGCGCTTTGCCGTTATGGGGTGTGTGTGGCACAGCGAAAGGTATTGCAGACGTTGGTGGCACGATATCATCAGTCTCCATCGGTGTACTGGACGTTGAAGGAATTCGTACATCTGGCTCCATTGTACTAAAATTGAACAAATTAGAAATTATTGTTTCTCCTATTTTTAAATGTTTTCAAATACAGTGTAAGCTCTTTATAACATCATTCTTTATAACGATAAACTCTCTATAACATAGAAAAGATCACAATTGGGTTGGTTTACCTTAAAACCCATACATTGATACACTCCTTATAGCGCAGCAGCCATCTCTATTACGAAGAAATGTGTTTATATTTAGACACAGAAAACCGTCATTATCGGTGTTATTGTTTATGTTATCTTATCAAGTTACAAAAGACGCCGAATAAACCTTCGAGGTCCCGAAACTGCTGAGGTCGTAAACAGCCGTTTCGCTTTTGTTATTGTTAATTGCCTTGAACACGTGCTTGGTTTGCTTGAAAATGATGGTCTCGAACTAACAACAGAAGTACTGGCAAAGCAAAAACCGTCAGGCAAAGTTAACTGACTATATGTATTAATTTTATCAAAAACATTAAAGATTATAGTTAATTTGGTTGTTTTTCTTTCTTCACTCCTTATAACAATAACTCTGTATAACGATAAAAAAGATCGGTCCCTTGAGTTACGTTATAAAGAGTTTACACTGTACTTATGGATATGAATAGTCAATTCAAAATGAACAAAATTTGTTTGTGTTAAATACCTAATTTGGTTCATGTTATGAATTAATAATAATTTGGAAAATTAAAAAAAAATGTTTTTGTTGAATTAACTTTTTGTTTCAAGAATTTTTTTAAATAAAATTAGTTTTAAAAAGTTACTAATATAAATAATTAATTTGAAATTTCACAAAATTTGTGTCTGTTAAATTCATTTTTTATTTAAAATTTTTGCATAAATTTAACTTTGTTGAAACAGTTATTAATATAAATAACAAATTCAAGAATTCACAAAATTGGTTTATGTTAAATCAATCAGTTGTTATAAGTTATTAATAAATTTAACTTGTTTTACATTGTTATAAATATAAAAACTAAATTTAAAAGTTAGAACATTTATTTAAATCACATTAATTGTTAATATCAATCGATTTTAATTCAAAGTGTATTTTCTAAAAGGAGAAAACAAATTCACATTTGATCTTTGAATTTACTAAATCGCGCGCTTACTACCTTGCGCAGTATTCGATGATTTTCCCCCCTTAAAAAAACCTTGTGCAGTGATTGGTCGTCTCGGTTTGAATGTTTCAAAGTTTCGATTTGACAGGTTGGAGGTTAAACATTGTTATTTCAATTTTTTACATAGCAAGTCGCGCTCATTTTTTCAAGTTAAACAAATTATTATTGGTTGAGAAACGATTTATACTACTTTTTTGATTGAATTAATTTAATTAAATGTCTTAGTCATTTATTTCATCATGTTATATTATCAGTCTGAAATTATTTACCTTTGCTGTTTGTATTGTTGCGATGGACGAAACTACCTTCACATTATCACTACACAATTGTTTTACAATTAACTGGCAACGGGTAAACTTGTATGCAGGCGCCTAAGCGAAATAGAAGCGCAAGACATGAACCGGTGTGTATGCCTATCTCTCTCACTCTCTTTCTCTCGCTCTTAGGCGGGCTAACGGTGCTCGAGTGGAAGAGACGCGTGCCTTTCACTTTTTATGTCTGTCTCTTTCGCTCTTAGGCGGGCTAACCATGCCCGAGTGGAAGGGACGCGTGCCTCTCACTCGCTCTCATTGTGAGCGCATAACGTGAGCGGAGCGTAACGCAGTTTCTTGAAGTGTCACCCGGCAAACCAATTTATAAGACGTTGTCACGTTAAAAAAAGCGTATACAATAAATATTAATAATGGTTTTTGAAGGACAGTGTCAAGACAATGGCGAATGGAATATACACACTTGTAAGAACAGCCCTTTTTGCTAGAAAAACAAAAAGTTATTCAGATAATTCGCTTTTGTATAGAACCGCAAATATTGCTATCCTTTACAAACAAAAAGTTAAAAGTAAATAATCAAAATATTAAAATTATTGCACATAAAATATCCAGAAAAAAATTAATACTGTTCGGGTTTTTATTCGGGTATTAATTTGGGTAAAAATATAATTATTTTGTGCAAAAATATAATTATTTTGTGCAAAAATATAATTATTTTGTGCAAAAATATAATTATTTTGTTACAGCAAATACGGTAAAAAAACCGACTTCAAAAAACCAAAAACTAATAACAAACAAAAAGTCAAAACTAAAAAGCAAAAAATAACTATTATTAGTACTGATAGGTTACCCACCCACTGATAGGTAAGAAGTCGGTGCCATAAGTTCCATACAAAATTATTCATTAAAACCTTAATAGGTACCTATCTAATTCTCAATTTTGTGGACATTAAGTTATAACATTGTGATATGAGCTTATGACACCGACTTCTAACCTATCACAGTATACCGTTGAGGAGTTCCCTTAACAATTACACTTCTTCATCATCAGACCCTTAATGCCAGCTCCACTCTATCTAGGTGTAAAGTCCTCATCAATACCAATTAATGAAGTCCAAACACAAGGTAGTTACAGTATACCATTGAGGAGTTCCCTTAACAATTACACTTCTTTATCATCAGACCCTTAATGACAGCCCCACTCTATTTAGGTGTAAAGTCCTCATCATTACAAATTAATCAAGCCCAAACACAAGGTAGTTACTATAAACCGCTGAGGAGTTCCCTCGACTGTCTGTCGGCTCCATCATCAGATCGACTCTAGACCCTTATGAAATTGTAGTGTTTAAAAATCGTAATTGAAAAACATAATAGACGCATTACTCGCCCATAGAATTTTCGAAAGTTCCCCTCGGTTTCCCTAGGATCCCATCATCAGATCCTGACCTCATGGAGGACAAGAATTTTCGAAATCGGTCCACAAATAGCGGAGTAGTGCGCGAACAAAGAAAAAAAAACAATAAGCCGAACATAGTACCTCCTCCTTTTTTTGAAGTCGGTAAAAATGGGGCGAATAGGGATCGAGTTGTTAATAGGGACAGAAGAGGGGTGGATCGATACTATGAAGAATTTCCCAATATCTATTTACCCCTTTTCTGTCTCCATTCACCTCTTGATCCCTATCCACCCCATTTTACGGTAAGTAATTAAACCTTTTTGAACTCAATTGTCAGCTGATAATATTTTCTATTTCTTATTTTTGTATGACTTAGGAGAAGGATAGCAATACCTTTATTTTATCACGAACATTCGCCTGCATTTTGTATATCCCCTTTAAAAAAATCTTTAGAAATAGTAAAAGAAGCACTTGACGTCCAAAAAAATTCGTTTACTGTAGAGTGATGTATGTTTACAAGTCAAATGGAACAAGCGATGAATTATGACTGAAAACACAGGATGAAGACAGAAAACGATTTTTTTTTGACTTTCTTCAGAAAACCAACATAATTAACTGTGCGTTCAAGTTATAAATTATATAATTTCTAGGGGAATACAGAATATAAGGCTTGCAAGTGAAAATGAATTTAATCTTTGACTATCTTTACGTACTATTACAAAACCCGGGCTGTTCTTACAAAATCCACTACAAATGATGAAAAGTTCCTCACTTCATGGTTGATGTGTTTGCCGAGCTCCTCACGAGAGGTGGAGGGGGTTGCTGACCCATCGCCATTGTAATTGCACTGTTCGGAAACTGAAATAAACGATAAAAACAAACATTTTCACGCGGCACTAGAACAAAATGGCGAGTGCCAGGAAAATTATTGTGGAAGACTAATAATAATAAACTAAATATATATGTGAGATATTTATTGTAGCTAATTTACCGGATTTTCGTCAAAAGTCACTAATTAATTGGTATTTGTGTAATAATATGGTAGACGCGTATGATGGGTACCTGTACGTTACGCTGGTGCTGCGAGCGATGCTGCGGCAGGCCGGCGGCGGTGGCGGCCGCGATGGCCGCGTTGTTGTAGCGCGCCGCCACGTGCGCCTGCGCCACTTGTGCCTGTACAACCATACATTGTTATACTACACTGCTATTAGATACTACTCTTATAACTATAAACTTAAACATTTTATATGATTCATAGACACACATAGTCCGAAACAAAAATTGAAAGTATACGTTTCTGTCACGTGGTTTTGTCGACTTGAAATTTTGAAATATTTTATATGGATCTTATGAAAAAAATCTATATTATGTTCAGTAGTCAACACGTAATGTAACTGGCTCTTCTATGTATGGGGAAGGTAACCTTTTGTATTGAAGCCACAAAAACGGTATTAAACTTAAGTTAACCAATAAATATTTCCTAATAGCTACCTATTTAATGGGCCAATGAATCATTTCGTGGAAATTATGAATAAACAATGCCTGACGTCACAATTAGGGCCGTTTCCATCAGCTTCTGGATAACAATGAGTATCCTTTTATGTTAGAGCAATTGTTTCAAATATCCAATGACAGAACGGGCTAAGAATGCAAAAATCTCAGGAACTATGAAAAAAACTGTACCAGTCGGAACTGACGAAACTGAATCATAAAAAGTAGGTACATAGAATCTTAGGCGCCCGGTTGGTCGAGTCGAATGGTCATATGCGTTGACGCTAAAAACGGGGGTTTGGTTTATCTAACCACTTCTCGGATCGGGATGATTCTCGGGTCAGCATTAGGCTCGCCCCATAATTGGCAGTGAATAGGGTGTTACATTTAAACGTTCACCTCTATCAACCACATTGGAGGCTATGCACAATTCAAAATGTTATATCAATACAGGTTCCACCAACAGCATCGTGTTAGTACCTGTGCGAGTCTCAGCACTTGTTGAGTCTGGGCTTGCGTCAAGGCTGCAGGTAGACTCCAACCATTCGCCAGCGCTTGTACTGTAGCTGCCGACAGTCCACCGTGGGGCATCTGCATGGCTGCAGAAGCTTGGGAATGCCTCTGCGTGTTTGCCCGCCTGCCCCGCGTGGATTGGCTGTTCACATTGTTGAGGCCCACGCCTGCGCCAGACCCGACTCCCACTCCACCTACGACTCCTGGAGGCGGCGCTGGCGGTGCCCGCGTCCATTGCCCGCCACCAGATACAGAACCTGATAACAAAGATGGTGGACTTCAGCAATAATTCTTACAAAATATTAATCTACGATAAGACATGAAGATTAGAGATTCGCAATCTGTCTGGGATTACGTGGAATGCCTACGTTGGTAAAAAAATGTACCATATTCCTTATTTTTAATTTTTAAAAACAATTTTTACGCTTGAACTACGGATTTAAAGGTTCAAGGAAGTTACAAATGGTTAGTTATCGAAATTGGTTATTCATACGTGTTTCTCAAAAACATACTTATTGTTTCTTTATAATTGAGTTTAGTTCCTTGAGAAATATTGCGTCATGTACGTGTTATCTATATGTATATGGAATGAAAACAACGGGTCACTCTGATTAGGCCAGAAAACGTGATAAAAAAGACTGCGTCACACTCTGGAAAACGCTGGTTATACCCGAACTTTGCAAAATTAAGTGAATGATCTGCCTAGCCTTTACGAGCTATAAACGATTGTCTGTAATCATCGCGCAAGCTGGATTCATTTGGGAACCTAAGTCTATCTGCAAGTTACAGCTTGCATGCTCAAACACCTCTTAACAAACCCATAATTTATAGCCTAATGGGATTATTCATACATTACGAAAATATTAGGTTCCAATGCTGCATTATTCCGATTTCTTTTACGTTTATGTACATCTAGCCTTAAAGACTCGAAGTATTTCTTATTTCAGAAATGACATAACAATGAGGAATTCTTGCTTTAGAAGCAACTTTAGGAGTTCTTGAACTGCTACTGCTACTCTGATTTTATTAACTCCCATTGGTAGTCAAAGGAGTTGAGTAAGGATTTTATTTATCTTTAGCTTCTTCGACTCCTTTCATTTGTAAAACAAAAACTCTTTGTGTTGTGTCAGTTGCTTATCATAACCAAGTTGTTGAACTTTACGGAAATATAACAGGCGACAAGGCAGTGATAATAATAAGTCTTGTGTCGAATTATAATATTTCTTGAAGGACATTAAAGGCTAAAAATTATGTCAAACCCTCTTAAAAATAGGAGTCTTACAGTCCGCATTGGAGCACAGTCAGGAGCTGTTCATGATAATGATGACGAAGGGCAGTTTTACAAGTCCCTGAAAAAATTGGCAGATAGAAGCAGCGATTAACAAGTGGATATTGACCATCTTCCAGAGAGAGAAACCAACCGTAAGAATCAGTGAAGTCGTTGCATAAAAAGTGCCAATAGTTTATTTATGGATATTACATGTTGTAATTTTCGTAACAATTAATTTTCAGTCATTACTCGGACTCCAAAGGTGGGGAAAATATCAATTGAAATATTAGACAATAGATGCCCTTGAAATTCAAAGAGTATGCACCAAAAAGGTCAAATTATAACTGGCTAGATGGCAGACAATTACGAGTGACGTCATATGCCATGTTCTCGACCTAGTTCGCGGATAGAATTTACAAGTTTTGAGGTCCTTTTCAACAAAACCGCTTTTTGTTACATGTTTCAACAAATTCATGACAATCTTAGTAAAAACTTGGAAATCTTTTGGTTGATAAACTGATCTAGTAGTTTTTACATGACCGAGACCACTGACTGGGCTATTTTCATATTTTCTTGTTTACTTCACCGTCTGATGACGTTGAAGCGTTGAACTGTGAAATCTTACGAAACGGCGAGTTAAAACCCCAACTGGGCCATTTGATCCGAGATAAATCTGTAGTGTTTCGTACAAACCTCATAGCGTAACGGGAATCAAGAGAAAGCCTCAAGACATAAGATGTCAAGATTTCTTTCGACAAACACCAGATTGCTGGTAATTGTCCCGTTATCTTTAAACCGTTAACAATGACAAATCTTTTTTGGGATACATATCGATATTTTCGTTAATAATAAAGAATCCAGTTTTAATGATGTTAAAGCTATAAATAACAAATGAATTATTTGATAATGGAACAAATTCTTAATATACATGCGACAACTTTTAGCTGCGCTATCGCGACCATAAACGGGTCTTACAGAATATTTAACAATGAAAACGAGTCTGGATAAGCCGGGATTATCCAAGACTTTTATGTCTGGGGTTCGTATTTCTTTCGAATCGTTGTTTACAATTTTCCTTTTTCTCTTTTAGAGCCAACGCGTCAATCGTACTATTGTAAAAGAAACTAAACATAATATTTGTATGGGTATGGAATGTGGGCTTAAGTTTTTCCAAACCTACTTTTAAAATAGAGTAGGTTATTCAAATGCATATTAACTGATTTACTTTCGTTTTAATAACTCTACATATTCCTTATAATGAAGAATCGTAGTGAACTTATTTGCGTCATTTAGCCTGTTTAAACCGCACCAAAGTAAAACTTCCGAAGGGATTCCCAATAGTGAAGAAAACAGCAAAGTAAACATGCCCTGAGGAAAACCGCGTGATTTCCTTATTAGAATTAATTAATTCGAAGTCCTTAATTATAAGTTATGATTACTTAAAAGGTCTTTCTTTTGCAGTTCTATGAAATATAGCTCTTTTTAATAGCACTCCTTTGACCATTTTCTTTCTAAAATATCTTCATGAATTCGTTTCGATTACCGTTTTAATATTTGATGCCTCAAACTGCTTATTAGTTTTACAAATGGGACCAAGCTTTTGGGTCTTGGATATAATTCGAAGGCAGAAACAAATTCCAAGGAGGGCCTATATCGAATACTTTATCTAGCCATTTATTTAGAAGCTGCCACAAAACCATAGCAAAACTTTCATAAAGGTCTATTAGTAACGTCCTTCACTACGACCCGTTTTTATTGATGAATGATGCAATAACCACTACGCCTTCGAATTTTAAGGCTTGAAAACGTCTAGATTTTGATGGATTTAACGGCAGATGACCGATGGCCAAGTTATATCCATGGTTACAGTTCTGAAACTTTACTAGTTATTTCTATTTCGTGTTTTTGTAGGCACTTACTTCAAACATAGAAATAAAAGAATCTACTTTAGATTATTGTCTTTGCTCACGTTTAATCGTATTCATGCGTATATTATATATCTTTCAAAAAAGAGCCGGTAAGAATGATGGTTAATTAATAACCATATTTTCAGTTAATTATGGATATGACAGGGACAAAAACATAATTGTCGTTTGTACAGTGATAAAGGAGATAATTGTGCAAAAACAGTCATAATGCAAATTGTTTTTACATGTCAAGGTTCCACGCTGAAGGTTTAAAAAGCCTTCGCATTTTTTGACAAACTTAAATATCACTCTTATACTTCTTATATAAGCGCAATTTTCACTTTGGATTTTATTCCTATGATAATAAAGTTTAAAGTTCGATCAATAGTTGGACCCTTTACCCTTGAATTGTAATAGTCGGGACGTAAATAGGTCGAAACTCTTCGACTGTTATTCATCTCCCCACTTCCCCGGTACCTATTGTAGTATTTTAACATTTCATACGAGCGTTGGGGAATAACACAAAATGACTGTTTCATTAATAAATTGGGACTTTGCCACGTTGGGGTTACATCTTGAGCTTCCATAAAATCATTGGACAAGTTTAATATCACTTATCATATTTATAGACAGCAAAACATCAATCATTTAAAATTGGCCACTCTCAGCTTCCATTCAAATATCAGTTATTGCGACTTTTGCGGAAATAAACGAGAACCAACCAACCAATCGCCAACGGTTACGTCATTAATTTATTCTAAGAAGTTAAAATGTCCAGATTGAGAAATAGCAAAAAAACGAGTTTTGCAAAAAGCAACCTCTTTACCTTATTTTTAAAATAACTAAGTAAAAGGAGAAAAGATCTTCGAGGTGTAAAAGAAACAAATTTTTCGCGAAATAAAGATACGGCAGAAAAGGCGCCAAAACTTTTGATCACGATTTATTATGCTCCTTTCTCGGAAGAAATTGTTATTCTGGAGTACATAATAATGACAGTTTATTGTTTGGAATTACCCCCTCAAGATCGTTGATTGTAGCATCAATGTCTACGGCCTGTTATGTCATTGTTTTGTAAATAATAGGTTGCGACGTATACTAGCTATTCATTCAAATATCGAGATAGACCATCTTATTGGTAGACCTAAAAGTGACGATATTTAAATGGAAAACTATGATGAAAGATCACATCTTTAGTTACTTCATAAGTTAAATGGATAAACAAAAACAGCAAGGACGGAAACCGTCCGAAGAAACCTTTAGGTTTTTTATAAGTCGCACGAAATATAAATAAATTTTCCAATAATAGGTATTTGTGGACATTACTGACGTAATTTTTTACAGAATTAAACAGAATTTCCATTGTTTAGGATAGAGAATTTAAATTTTCAATAAACGAATGGAAACAGTTAGGTTTTGTTGAGGATAATAATATTTTACTTCAATTAGGTAACATCCATTATGTTGAAGCAAGCAAGGAAAATTATTAGTTTTCTCTTATTGCTTATAGCTAAATATTCTTTCGTTAATGAAAACAACTTATGACGTAAATAATCTTATCTGCAAAAATAAGAAAACTTGGAAACTTCGCGTCTTGGGTTTCATTGAAGTAATTTGAGATTATCTTATTGAGATAATTCTTGATTACTTTTAGAGAAACATGTCAATTTTCTTTAATTTAACAGTAACAAGTTGTAATAAACGCTTGAGACTAAAACTACTTGGGTGTTCAATAGTTTTTAGTAATTAGGCACTTCTGAGAAAGGATCTCTAGAATTGAGTAATAATATTGTAAGCACCTTATCTACATCATATATATTCTGGATATGGCTTAATCTTTCATATCAGAGAATTAATACCAGTTAACTACGTTTTTTTATGAGATGTAAAAGCTTTAATTATTTAATTTTCTAGACAGAAGTAAAAGTATAATAAGAAATACGGGACAAACAAAACCGTTAAAAGACAAAGAGGTTGTTTCTTTTGAATTTAAAATCAATAAATAGAAAGGCTGAAGTACAGTCAGCATCTAGAGTTGCAACAACTTAGTACATCAATTTCTTAGTTCCTTTTTGGTAATAAAAAAACCAATTACATATAATTTCTGTATCCTTGTTTATCACTGGTGTACAGAAATATCTAGAACCACATCCAATGCCCTAACAAACTATTAGTTTTTATTTTTAACAGTCATCATTCAAGCCTTGCATGACCTTGTATTTTTTCAACCTCATTGTTGAATGTCAAAAAACATTTTTTTTTTTTGCTGTTTCATATGAGCAAAAAATAGTTTTAGGTTTGTTCTACTACTTCAGGTAGTCTTTGAACAAATACATATTCAACATTTTAGCAACCAAACCAGATAAATCCAATCATAAAATAAATATTCTTGTCTATTTGTCTCACTATTATGATAAGCCTTTTTTTAGTTCAATACATTTTAATTGCTTTAGTTCTGTGCAGTTTTTTTGCTTCTAAAAATATAAATGGTTGTTTTTTTGTCCTAGATACAAATAAAGTTGGATATAATTATTTTTTGTACTTTGAAATTATAAAGTAGGTTTTTTTTGTAGGTTTTATATACATAGTAGGTTTATTTTTGTAATTAATGAGACAAATCATATTATTACATATTCTTATTTGGTTTGGTTTAGATAAATAATTATTAGTTAATATTTAAGTCTACATTTATAGGCAGTTTGTTAATTATGTATATTATAATAACTGTACATTTTAATGTAAATAATTGTTTACTTTTCATAGTTAGTATTTAATCTTTTTGGCAAAATTATTGAAAGCATAAATATTGGGGTTATTAAGACATATCATTACCTAATTAAGATTAGGTAACTATTTACCTAAGTACTATTTTTAAACCAAAAATATTAAATTTATAGTAAATGAAGTTGCTGACTGTACATGAGCTAAACAACCACATGCAATATAAGCTAACTAAACCTATTTAAGCTTCGGGAATATATAATAAGTATGTAGTTATAGTCTAATATATACTTTGTATAGTTATTAGTATTTATAACCAGGTTTGGATTTCCAATCTAACGGTAATGATGCTGAAAACTTAAAACTAAACCTTAAGCTAATTATCTCACCTTTAGCCGATATTAACAGCTGTGAGTCAACAACTTTGTTTGGCCAGTACTCCTCGAACTCTGTTCCCGGTGGAAAATAGCTTTTAATGTCTGACAAACTAATCACTGAACACGTCTCACTAGCAAATAGTTCATTCCGAATACCCTGCACTTTACAACAGAACTTCAAGTATGACAAGTCCCAGCCTTTTAACTGGTCGGCCTTTAATTTCAAATTGTCTGTTTCACCTTCAAAGTAAAATAGAGGAACAAATTTCTGGCTATCCCGCACCGTGTATGGTACAACAGACTCCTTGTTTATCCTAATGAAACCACACTTGTCTTTACTATTTGTTGTACCTCTTAATAACTTATTATAACATACATCTAGGAAGTTATAGAACTCATAGGCATCCGATAACCGCACCACTAAGTCTTTCTGAGTGAATGGATCCCGGCCAAACTGTCCATCGCAGTGTCTGTTGTTGATCTCATTCAGCAGTCTGGCCTCAATCTCAGTGATGTAGTAACTTCTAATACAGGTACATGAGTAAATGTCTGCATGTAGATAGTTCAAGTACTTGTTCAGCAGCTTGATCTCCACCATCCTGACAGCCACGTACTTCTCAGAAGACCGGTATATGTAAGGTATATGACATTTACCCAGCATGTCCCACCCAAAATGACCTTTCCAACTAGCCTCATCAGGAGCCGGGTTCTTTTTGTCACCGTCAGGCGCAGGTCGCAACTCACTAGCAGTTGTGGCAGCATTTGGTTTTCGAGCTAAGAAGTTGAGAAGTCCCATTTGTCCGCCGGAGCCCGGCGGCGCCACGCCGACGAGCGAGCCGGGCGGTGGCCGTGCTGCCGCCACCGACGCTGCTAGCGTCTTGGCCTTATTGGCCTCCACCATCTTGGCGGCCAATTCCCTAATCTCAGCCTCATCAGGCCGCTCTGTCTTTACCTTGACCATGGTTGAAGCACTGGTCGCGGTGTCCGTCATGTTTTCTATCACACTTCACAGCTCGTGAAACTAAAGCACAGTTTTTTATATTCTCCACGTTGCTCTAATCCAGGGCTACATTCTGTAGCGTCGCCGCGACAAGTTTCAGTCAAAAATTAGTAAACAATCGTTTTGCACGATGCGCATCGTCCACTTATCACTTCACTATTTTGACAGATGATCACCGAAGCTTACGATGCGTAAACGAATATTCAAATTCACTATCATTCACACATTCCACGACAAGTTTCCACAGTTGATCCGAGTTCACTGTTCATAGTCCATCCATGTGAGGGTCGACAGAACTAAGAAAAATAAGTTCCGCACTATACTGACGACGTCAACTTTTGAAAATTGTTTTCGCGGTAATTGCTTATTGATTTATAAACACTTTTTAACCCCTTGAAATTATCATTAATTGGAAAAATATTTTTCTTATTTAACCACGCTGTGGTAGGTAAGGAACATGAAACCCAAATTTTGTGTTCAGGGAAATGCCCAATACCGTTGTGTAGTCTCGTGGGGAGTGCAATTCATGTACATTTTTCACCTTTTGGTGACTCAGCAACGAACAAAATGGCCGCCGACAAGGCTTTGTTGGCCAATCAGGTCACTGCTAGCGACCATACATATCTACAAAAGTCCCGTCGATGACGTAGCTGCACTCCCCACGAGACTAGTTCTCAAGGACTTTTCATTTTGTTCTATTTTCGACTAATTTAATTTTGGAAATCAGTCATTAAAAGTGTCTTAGATCGATCCTAGAAAATATAAATTTCGCAGATTTTTTTAAAATGCTTTGGGTCACAATTTTCATTATAATATTCTATACCTAAAATATAATTTATGAATGTACTCTTTACAAAGTAGTCACTATCGGTAGTCTCGCTACAGCTGCTTCGCTGTCAGTTGGGCGTTATAAAACAAACAGTAGTACGAAACTGTACTTTATGCGCTTGTCATAGAGAGTATGTGTTTTTCTTGACTCGACAATCTTTGTCTTACGGACAGTGTGTAGCGAGACTAGCCGACGCGCGCATTCCACGAACAATAATCCCCTGCATGAGTGAACGAGATAGCAACAAGTAAAAAGTAGATGTCAAATGTTTAGGTATTTTACTATGAACGTAAAGAGAACGTAGGTAGGTATATAATGCAATTACAAGCTTACGTAAGTATTTTAACCTACTTGGTAACAAAGTAGGTAGCTGCAGATAACGGGATTTGGTTGATTTTTTTTTATGTGAGGGTACCCTCTTGGGTACTTGGGTAGGTAAGTACTCAGCGTTAGGAAAATATTGTTTGTTTGAAAGTTTCGGGAAGGCGTTACAAAGTCCGGCACTGATAATACTGCTGATAACATTATCAATGTAATCTAATCTAAATATGACACTCGTAAATTATTAACAAAGGTTAGGCTTTTGTTTGAGGCTGTTTTTATTAAAATAATGAAGTAGGTATTTACAAAAAACTCGAAACTAAATCTTTTGATCTTTTGTGGTTAGCATAAGGTTGCTTTTTGTATGGCGCGCTAGGCGCCTAATGTGAAACTGTTTATAGAAATAAAGTAATAATAAAAGTACTCCTTCTGCTTATAAATATTCATGTATCAACTTATCGATCGACCCGGAACGCATTGATGTAATGTGACCACAATGTAAAAGGTTGTAAGTAAACTTATCTATTATCGAAACATGTGTAGATTAAGTTTTATTCTTGTTAGAAAATCTCCATTATGCAGACCTATCATCTAATTTCTTGTACCTAACAAAGACCAAAAAGGAAATGCATGATGCTGATGCATACTGGAAGCACGTACTATGTATAATGCATACCTAATGCATGTTTAAAAACAAACAGGTAGGTAAGGAAACTTTACAGATAAAAAAATAATTGTAGAAAAAAATATTATGGCCGAAGCATAGATAAAGTTACCTACAGCTAATTTAATCTGTGAAGAAACTATTAATAGACAATAGGGGCAGCGTAAAACCTATTTTTAAAACTGTAACATTCGATCGAACTTTCTTTGAATCCATAAAATGCAGCATGGGGTCTCCGTAGTTCATAAAAGTTCATTGACCTATTAACCTATAAATAAAAATTAAAAACGAAATTTAAAAATGTTTAAAAAGCTAAGTGAGTACCTACTTAGGTATTAGAATAAACTAGGTATTTGCTTCGGTTATCAAATTAAAGTAAATATTACTTAGTTTATTTGAAAACACGTGGTACCGTCATTTTACTTATGACACTGCAAAACATACTTAGGAATTTCTTAGAAATCAAGTAAGGGTTTTTATAATAACCAAAATATTTTTTTTTAAGGTGGGAAAATCATCGAATGACTGCTCCCGCCTGGGTGAGGCGGGATGGAGTGTCCGACTCTTATTGACTAAAAACCACCCCGTTCCTTCTCCTGCAGGTCGAGCCGGAGCCCCGGTTACCCGTTAGGTTCTCCGCGACTAGGCATAAGGCGTACAGGTAGGAAATAGCACAGCAAACTGTTCCCATATTTAATAGTTTCTAACATATTTTAACCAATTTCAAAAAAGGTGGAGGTTCTACCTGTTAGTACTTATGTAAGACCCAATAAAAAAATTGAGGTTTCCGTTTGTAGTTATGTAATGGGCCATAATTATTATTAAAACTATTGTTGTATGATGATTATTATCATTGATTACCACCACCTAGGTGAGCCTATTGCCATATACCGGGCACAGTTCCAGACTCCGTACTACTACTGAGATTTTTTTAAAAACCCAATAATACTTTGCCCGACCCGGGAATCGAACTCGAGACCCCTTACCCGGCAGTCGCAATTGCGACCACTCGGCCAACGAGGCAGTCTATCAGTCTAAAAATGTCGCGGAGAACCTAACGGGTAACCGGGGCTCCGGCTCGACAAGGAGGAGGAGAAGGAACGGGGTGGTTTTTAGTCAGTAAGAGTCTGACACTTCCTTCCGCCTCACCCAGGCGGGAATATTCATTCGATGATTTTCCCCCTTAAAAAAAAATCAGTCTAAAAATGTTAATCGTTTGTTATGCTTGATTTGGGAACAGAACCTTGGTTTTCAAGGTCCGAAGGCTAGATTTAGAAAGAGGAGACACGATAGACATTTGGGGCAAAGCTCTTGACCTTAATAATTTCAATGTTGTAACATTGCAGCTACTTTTTATTCTGCAAAGGTAAAGTGTGCATAAGGTAAAAAGTCCTGCATTTAACTGCATAATAATTTGGGAAAATTAATTATCTTTTTTCGACGCGGGAATTGAATACTAGTAATACTAGTTACGCACCTACAGTCGCTACCAGTATATATACATACATTCATAACTTCACGCCTGTCTCCCATGGGGGTAGGCAGAGACTATGGAACGCCAATTACTACGATTCCTACATACCTCTTTCGCTTCATAAACAGTCATTAATCTTTTCGTGCTCTTTTCATAGATTGGCGTGGCGATATATTAAAGAAGTGCCAAATTAAAAGTACCCTTAAAAAAAAAAAAAACCGCTACCAGTAAGTAACAACTTATAAATTTTATTTATAAAACACTTAAAACAATTCAACAAAGAAGGTACCTACCTACTGAACCTTGATTGCCATTCCCAAATGCAATCATGCTAATAGACAGTCCTGTCGCGCCAGCGAAATTCATTTTAGCAATGAGTTGACTCACGACATCTTTTTTGTGTATTGCACCCAAGCGTATCAACATTCCTTAATCGTCAAAGAGATTTTCAACTTTACTGCTTTGAAGTAAAGGCGATATTCTATTGGGATAAAATGGTAATTTGGGATAGCATAATCTGCTATTGTCTGTACTTCAGCAAGTGACTTTTCTTATTGTTGTGAATGAGTGTTATTAAACTGAGGCCTTGGTACGAGTTTGATTTACGTTTAAAGTATTCGAAACGAGTACGCGTACCGAGTGTCAGAGTGTCAAGCACGAATTATTATCGCATTCGTAACGTTATAGTATCGAGCGCGCTCGGCGCTCTGAGGGCCAAGCACGAAGAACTATCGCATTCGTATCGTAACAGTATCGAGCGAGTTAAGCGTTCAGAGGGCCAAGCACAAATAACTATCGCATTCGTATCGTAACAGTATCGAGCGAGTTAAGCGTTCTGATTGGTTGGTTTATTAGAGGCGGCCAATCAGAGCGCCGAACGCACTCGATACTATTACGTTACGAATGCGATAGTTATTCGTGCTAAGTACTCTGATTGGCCGGCACCAGTGAACCAACCAATCAGAGTGCGCCGAACGCACTCGATACTATTACGTTACGAATGCGATAGTTATTCGTGCTAAGTACTCTGATTGGCCGGCACCAGTGAACCAACCAATCAGATCGAATCGCATTCGTAACGTAATAGTATCGTGCGCGTTCGGCGCTCTGCGCTCAACCAATCAGAACGCTTAACTCGCTCGATACTGTTACGATACGAATGCGATAGTTATTCGTGCTTGGCCCTCTGAGTGGCGAATGCGCTCGATAATATACGTTACGAATGCGATAGTAATTCGTGCTTGGCACTCTGCGCTCTGATTGGCCGGCTCGAATGAAACAACCAATCAGAGCGCCGAACGCGTACTCGTTTCGAATACTTTAAACGTAATAAAAACTCGTACTAGCTTCTGTGTACCTAATGCTTTAGCTTTTAGGTTAGTTTTTTAATCACCATCCACTTAGTGGCGCTTTAGCAAACAGGGTGTAATATTGTCTAAATTCAGAGTAGAGCAGGAGGCTCTCCAGGTTTTCATCTTCGAACACTAAATAACACAGGTGGCAAAGCGCAATCGTACTTGAATTCATTTTGTTTTTGTATGTAATCACGGCAGCAAAATCAAAAGTTGTTTAATTTATTATTCTGGCAAACCAAGTTCAATAATCCCTTCGGTCATTAACCCCATCAATTAAAGGGAAGTCTGTTCAACCAAACCACACTCCACAGTACCTAATCTCGATTGGAAAAACGTCACTAAAAATGA